CTGTACTTTATCACTTTTTTCCTTTTTTTTCTGGTCATCAAGTTTTTGACACCTTGCTAGGCGACTGGTGGTACTCGGATATTGCCATATCCTAAAAGTGGTACAATGGGTGAAAAGGTTGAAAAGCCCTGTACTATAGCATCTGTAATGTTGACAGCAGACCTGCAAAGTATTTATTATGCTGCCATTTGGTCTGAAACATCTATTATCTAGACAGTAAGATCAAAGCAGGTGCTGTTTTTTTAGATAACATATACTCTTGTTTGTGTTTCATTGTCCTCTGCATTGCTTGTAATTATACCTAGCTGTTTTCCTCCATTCAGATGTTACAGAGAAACCATAGCGAAGGAGAGAACAAGTTGCCAAACTGTACTTGTGGTTTTTCTTTTTCAGTGGTCATTTGTACATTTAAATAAACCTTCCGCTGTCTTTTTTTAGAGAGACATTTGCATTTTAATAACTTATAATTTAAAGAATGCTATTTATGATGCAGAGTATTAACATAACACTTTGGGAATATTATCTCAATAGTTCTTATAATAATTGAATGAGACAAGTCTAAAGCATAGTATATTATCCCACAAGGAAAATAATGCATTTCCTAAAGTTACGTTGTAGTTTCTATCCTTGCTGTAGTGAGAATTATGGACCAATATGTAACTTGTAACATAAATCAGTGTAGTATCTTCTCTAATATTGTGTGTAGCATTATCTCCCATTGTGATTTTGATAATTGGATAAAAAGGCAGTGTGACACTCCTATCTTTTTAGCACTTTAAACTTTTGCTAAGCATTCAGCATTGCTAGGAAATACAGCAATACTTCTTTAACTTGTGGTAGGGTTTTTTTTTTTGATGTTTGTGTCTTTCAGTCTGTCCTGACGCCTGGGAACTGTCCGGACTAGTTCCTGCAATTTTCCTGGCAAGATTTCAGAAGTGGTTTACCATTGCCTTCTTTCCAGGGCTGCAAGAAAGTAACTGGCCTAAGGTCATTCAGCTCACTATGTCCCTAACACAGGACTATAATTCAGTCTCCTGGCTTGTAGCCTGATGCGTTAACATTATATTGGCTCTTCTTTTCAATTGATACATAGAGATAAATGATCAAAAACAGAGAAAGAGATAGGAAACAAAGTAAACAACACTATTTCTGTAAATGAGGTGATAATATCCCTACTAACTGTGCAATGTTCATTCTTTCTCCATTCTGTGATCAGAGCAGGAGTTGGCAAGCAGCAATATTGTCATGAGTCTGACTAATGAAACACTTCAAAGATCTTTCAGGCATGGTTTAACCTAAAAAGCCTTTATTAGTGTAAAAGGAATATCAGCACGGCATGGAGAGTGCCAAGATCTGAATTTCCCTTCCTTTGCATATAACATTCCAGGCATTTCCCCTCCCCTATTTTGGGATTATGATTCACATCTTCCAATTAACCTGGAGGACAAAGATTCACTTCCCTTCCCTTCCCTGGGCTTTTCTCTCCTCTCTGTTTCTCATCTGAATTAACTCTAAAAGTACCAGACAGTTCTACATATTTTGTCAAAGCAAGAATATTCAATATTAGCAGCATTGACAAATATACTTTGCCAAGTAGTGTAGGATAGAGGCAAAACTTGTATGCTTAACTTATACGAGGTGCAAGGCTTTTTGCATCTTCTATATTCAGTTTGGGATGTAGGTAAGCTAGGAGGAATTGGCTAGGATCCAGTGGTCCATATAATAACAAAAAAAAGTTTGTTAGCTTTGCCTATTTGTTAGGTTCTGGTTTCTGCACCTGTCTTGGTACTATTCGAACACTAAAAGCCTTCTATATATTTATAGAAGATAACTGAAACTCCTTATAAAGCTATGAATAATTCGTATTTATTTTCTTCTTAATAGCTACTGAACTTCCATTTTAAAGAATGTTAATTTAATCATCAAGAATAATGAATTATCTGGCTCTTAGGCCCTTTAATGTTTTGTATTTAGAAAGAAATGTTGAAAGAAACTTGATAAAGGCACCAAACTCCTGTGAATGTGCTTTTCAAATTGTACAAATGGTTTCAGTGAAATAAGATTAAGTACAAGTAGTACTAAATGAATAGTTGTTTTAAAAATACAGGACATTAATTTCTGTAATTACAAACTAAGGACACCCTGTATCTATGTGGGAGGAACATATGTATAATTTACCTAGTAGAAAATAGAAGTAAAAAAACAGAATTGCTAAAGGATATTTCAGAATGCCAACCTATGAAGCTGGGGTTAACTTGTAGTCTGTAATCAACTATTTCCAAATAACCTTTCAAACATATCCTTAATTCTAATTATTTGACTGGAAATGGCTGAATGTTTTTCAGCTGTACCTGAATTCTTAAGCATATCTGCAGAACAAATATATGTTAAACATTATCTATCAGTGGCTAAGCACGTGGTAGTTTGAATTTAAGAAATATTTAGGAGATTACTTTATTTATTTAGAAAATTTATATTACCACCTACTCACATATGGTGACTCAAGGCGGCTTGCAGGACCTTTATGACTAGGCAGTCTCAAAGGTGCTTTTTCAAAAGGCAATTGGACCATATTTTTTCCCTTGAGGAAGAAGATGACATTTCATCAGCCCGAACTGATGAAGCTTCTTGGATGAGAAACAAAATATCTTTTTCTTCCTCAAGGGAAAAAACATAGTCCAGTTGACTTTTGAAAAAACACCTTTGAGACAACCATGACCTGGATGACTGGGAATCTACATAGATAAATATGATTAGGCCAGGGGTAGGCAACCTTGGCTCTTTTATGACTCGTGGACTTGGACTTCAACTCCCAGAATTCCTGAGCCAGGAAGTTGAGGTCCGCGAGTCATAAAAGAGCCAAAGTTGCCTACCCCTGGACTAGGCAGTTTATTAATATCTTTTACACATCTTCTTTCTTGTTACATAGTTCTATAGTTCAGTTAATTGATTAGCCCATAGGCCATATCAAAGTACAGAGTTCCAAACACAAATTATTAATAAAATCCTATAAAAACAATTTAAAATGTTTCTTGTTACATAATAAAATCCAGCATGGACTGGTTCCATCCACTTTTGGAATGTTGCCTTTAATATGCTGCACAGAGTCTAGTCTGACTGTCAGTCAGTTGGAAGTTGCACTCTTAGAATAATGGGAAACATTTGTTCCTTAGTTTGTATTTCTTAGTTGCTCCTTTGACAAGTTTTTTTCTGACAGATTATTCTGTTTGGAATGCCAGTTAAATGCAAGCTTTGGATTTTGGTTGTATAATATACTAGACAACCCATGTTGGCTTATCATTTCAGCGATATTTCCTCATCTAAACAGAGAAAATGAATGTCATAGGTAAGCAAAAAAGCAGTGGGAGCAGAACCAACTTCTGACTTCTTGTTACCTTTTCCACTGAGTTCCCTCGTTTCCTTACTTCTTGCTGGGTGGGGGAAGAAGTAAGGGATTGCAAAACTTGCTGGGAAACTATCATGAAAAGTTGAAAATGATCACATGACTGCATCAGATTTTGGACACAGTCTATATGTTAACCCATTTGACTTTCCTTGGTTCAAAAATGGTTGCTCTATGAGGCACCATTTCACTTAGTTAAAGATCATTTTATTTTTTTTTATTCAACATGTATGCTGCCCATCTTGCCCATAATGAGAATTTTAGTAGTATAGGTATTTAGTAGTATATAGAGGCATCCATAGAGCTGGATGATTGGGGGGGGTACATGTCAAAAGGTTCATATGGCAATTATGATACATGAGGCAGAGTTGTCTCATGACTCAAACTGCCATCTTGATTTTTTTTAATGCCCCTTGCAAATGCCCCTGTATGTTAAAAGGTCTTTCTGATAAAAAGCTCTTATTATTGTTAATTTACAATTCTTATAAAGAATGAGAGATAATCTAACTATAAACTGTGAATTAGTTTTGTGGTATTTCACCCATGAAAATGTTAATTCAATTTACAGGTAATAGAGGTATTAAAAATATGAGGTAATTACTCAGAATGCATTTTCTGTGTGGTTTGAATCTTCCCAGATTTCTGTTGTCTGAAACAAAATGACTCTCTCTCTCTCTGTGTGTGTGTGTGTATGTGTGTGTGTGTGTGTGTGTCTCTGTATGGACAGGCATACATGTGGTATTCAAAAAGACATATCTAATAAATGGAATCTTAACAAAATAGGAACATTTAAAAATACTATCCACCGATTTATTATTGTTAATCACACTAAAATTAATGTTTAATTTGAGAAGTGGTATTTAATAATACATGTAATCAATATACCCAAACATGGGGGTGTGATGGATCAGCCTGGGTTCAAGACCAAAGTACTGTGTGATGGAGTGAACTCCCGCTACTTGCCCCAGCTCCTGCCCATGTAGCAGTTTGAAAGCATACTAATGCAAATAGGTACCACTTTGGTGGGCAGTAAGAGTGTTCCGTGCGCCTTGGTGTATAGTCATTCTGGCCACAGAGTAAAAAGAAGAAATGTATCTATAAAGTTTCTTGTGACAGAAAATGCTATATTGTAGTACTAGGGTTTAAAAACTGAAATAAAATGTTGAATACATCTGTAAAATAGGTTTTCATATAAAAATATCAATTTCCTCTAGAAAATTTTCATCAAGCAGTATTTCCAATGTAAAAAGATATAAAACAAAAAACAGAAGAATTGAAATCAGAGGAAGGCACGTTCTTTTCCTGACTTTTCCTGAAGTGTAGATTTCAGTATTTTCTACCTCCTGTCCCATTCAGAAACTCATAAATGATTATATCTTACATGAGAGATTATTCTTGGTTTCCCAAAAGAATATTTTTATTTAATTTGTTATGATTACACTTAATAACTGCAGTATATGCTGTACTGTACATAAAATTAAAAACTCCATTTGAAGCGTATAGTCATGTTTGTAAGTGCATTTACAAGTGTTTTTATACTGTTCTTTCCCTGGCAGAAATGTTATTTAAATAAAGCAGAGAATGTTTTATTCTACAGGCCATCAGTTGTAAGGGCCAACACAGTATCTCCTACACCTTGTCACGAAATCAGACCGTTGTAGTTGAATATACACATGATAAAGATACTGATATGTTTCAGGTAAGTGTACTAACATTACATAAAAGTAGTTGCTTGTGGTATCATAAAATAGACTTCCTAGATATTTTAATGTATCATATGTGTCCTTTGGGTTTGGAAATTTGTCATATGAAAAGTAATTTTCAGCAAGCTTTTATGCTCTGTCCTGTCTCTGTCTTTTATATTAAGAACATACATACTACCATGCTGGATCTGACCCCTGGCCCATCTAATCCAGCAATTTGTTCTCATAGGGCCAATCAATTACACAAGGAAGCCTACTGGCCTCCTAGTACATGGCCTTTAGAGGCAGTCACACTGCCTTTAAGGCTAGTAGCCATTGATCCTAGTATTGCATTGTTCTCAGATTTTCCAAAGTTGGTCTGAAATAATCTGTATAATTAAAGTATTACAATTGCTGAAGAAGAATGCTAATTGCTTCTCTGTCCAGTTTATGGCTTTGTACAGAAAAATATACATTTTATGTATAGATTGCATACTATAGATTGCAAACTGTAGATTGCAACTATTTCATAGTTATCTTACTAGTTACATGAATGTACGCTAGGAATCTGTGGTTAGTTGTGTGGTTTCCTAGCTTAAATGCATGCAACAAAATATTTTCAAGATAGTGATATGTAACAGCAGTTCCATGTATTTTCTGTCACTGAAAAGTTTTTCATGTGGAATATTTAAAACATCCTTTTATAGCAGATCTTTTGAACAATTAATACATATATTTCCTGTTATTTTCTTAATAGAGCATGCTTTTGAAAAGTAGTTGGGTGACACATGAGCAGTGCCTTAGAAAAATATTCCTGAACTTGGATGGATCTTATTCAGGCATTTTTGAAAGCTCTCTCAGTAAGAACTAGTGGTAGCTGCGTTGTTTATATTTTGATCTTCTCAAAATTATTTTGAAAATATGTCCATGCACTGTGTACATCATGTTCAGTATAACAGGTCCACAGAAGTGCCTCAACTCCCCACTCCATCTGGACAGGCCTTAGTTAATTTTCAAGATTTGTTTGGAAGTAGATTAATTCAATTTTTTCTTTGGATTTTTTTTAATGATTTTTCCTACTTCAGTGATTTTCCAAGCCAGAACATGTAGTGCTATTTGTTAAATTGATATCCTATTTATTTTTTGAAAAGCTCAGACTGGTTTCATATGACAAGGTCTCCCATCTAGAAATTAATCATGTCGTATCTCCGTGTCTTCACTATTGTTCAGCAATTAAATGCTTCCTATACATTGACTCTAGAATGTAAAAAATGTAAGTGTTTATACCACAAGATAAGCAGTCCTGAACCAGCTTGGACTTTCTGAGAGTGTTAATGCTTGCTAAAATTATAGTCTTGAGGTAGTTGATAGTATCTGACACAAAACCCATGTAAACAAGAAAAATCAAAGAAGAAACAATATCTAACTCAGAAGCAATCCAGGAAGAAGCGATGCCTTAGTGAAGAAGGCTGGTAGGACAAGCTACTTCATCTACACAATCAGTAATCTCCATTTCCCTGTGCACTGAAAATGTTACCTAGCTTGGTAATGAAATGTCTGCAGGAAGAAAAGCAAGCACAGGGAATGCCAAGAACCCAGCAACTCAGCCCTGAGTGACATATATTCACTATGGCAACTATCTGATACAGCCTGGTATTTAAGCCTCCTTTGGTAGCCTGGACAACCAGGAATTGCTTTGAGGCAAATGAACAGATTGGATTGCTCCATCCCCTCTTTGCCAGTGCACTTTATTTCCATACTAGGACAGGAAGCCTCTTCCTCCATAATTAGCATGGAAATGTAATGGGCTGATGAGAGGGACAGATTGTTCCACTTTTTCACCAGTTTGCTTGACAGAAGGCCATTAAAAAATATCCTGAATTTCTGTGTTGGCTACAGATAGGAGGGGATTGTCCCCTCCTTCCTGCCTGTTAGCAGCCTAGTTGTTTTTTGGAGCATATTTCTAACACTGGTCTCGTAGTTGACAAAGTAAGTCAGATGGATATTCAAGTGGGAGAAAAACACTGGATTTGGCAATATGTTCCACTTTTTTCCCCTATTAGAATGAAAGCTATCAGATAAAGTAGTGTCATGTCTGAATGGCAAATAATGCATGAAATTGGAAATGTAGTGGTGTTTCAGTAACTCATCTGGCAAATGTTGATTTTTTTAAAAAATACAATTGAATTTTTTTCAGCAATAGGTTTTAAATGTTTTCCTGTAACCTAATAAGCTACTTTACCCAGAGAATTGCCTAGATGAATTTTTAAAAAATGGATCTAGATAGTAATACCCGTATATTCCGGCGTATAAGATGACTGGGCATATAAGACGACCCCCAACTTTTGAGAAGATTTTCAGGGTTTAGAAAGTCATCTTATACGCCGGAAAATACGGTACAATATTGAATTTCTGTTTATAGATGAGCACAATAGGAGCTCCATTCCTTTGCTGCTAGAAAGCGAGTGTTGCCCACCACTGCTTCCCTAATGCTTCCTGAACTCAGCTGGTATTTTTCCCCCATATATTTTATTGATTTTTTAAAACATAAATCATTTAATAGTTGATAAACAGGAGTTCTTTCAGCCACCCTCCAGAGACTAGAAGGAATCTTCTCAACGAGTAGCAGCAGCTTGAACATTCCCAGCCAGCTTCCCCATTGACTTTCTGGGGAAGCCAGCAAAGATTGCAAATGATGATCACATGATTATGGGGTGCTTGGCAACTTGTCATAAGTTCAAAGAGGTTGCCAAGCACCCAGACTGTGGTCATGTGACTGGTGTGTGTGTGTGTGTGTGTGCATGAAAACTTTTGCATCATTTCCAAGGCCATCATTAATTCAAACTGGCATTAAATGAATGGTCATAAGTTGAGGACTACCTGTATGCAGATATCTTCTGGTAAGCGATATTTATTGTGAAAATAAGAAATTCCTGAGTGCATCTAACAGTACATCTAGTGTAGTGTTATTTAACTTGAATGTAATACAGGTAGTTCTCGACTTACGACCACAATTGAGCTCAAAATTTCTGTTGCAAAGTGAAATAGTTAAGTGAATTTTGCCTCATTTTACAACCTTTCTTGGTACAACTATTAAGCTGTTAAGTCCGCAACATGGCTGTTAAGTGACTCTGGCTTCCCCATTGACTTCGCTTGTCAGACGGTTGCAAAAGGTGATCTCATGACCCCAGGAGCCTGCAATCGTCAGAAATATGAGCCAGTCGCCAAGCATCTGAATTTTGATCACATGACTGTGGGCATACAATGGTTGTAAGTGTGAAAAACAGCCATATGTCACTTTTTTCAGTGCCATTGTAATTTTGAACAGTCACTAGGTGAATAGTTGTAAGTCAAGGACTACCTGTAATTTTCAAGCCTCAGGCAGTTTTCTATTCAGTTACCTCAGATCCTCCAAACTGTGATTGAATATAGGATGATCTGCATCCTGAAGCAGCATTCCCCGTGCTGGCTGGGGCATTCTGGGAGATGAAGTCCACATATCTTAAAGTTGCCAAGGTTGAGAAACGCTGACTTAAACTATGCCCTTTTCTAGTGGGGAGGGCTTGTGAAGAACAGTTAAACTGTGCACTTTGATTTGTTCACAGGAGTTCACTTATGGGATTTTTTGTTTATATACTATTAACTCTTTCAGGTTGGCAGATCAACAGAGAGCCCCATAGATTTTGTTGTAACAGATACAATTTCAGGCAGCCAAAACAGTGATGAAACTCAGATCACCCAAAGTACTATTTCCAGGTTTGCATGCCGCATTGTCTGTGACCGGAATGCACCATACACAGCCAGAATTTTTGCTGCAGGATTTGACTCTTCCAAAAACATATTCCTTGGGGTGAGTATGCCAAATTTTCATATAAGTCAGGACATGACCTCTGTGTCATATGATGAAGGGCTGCTTCATATAATAGCTTCTCTCAGAGTGATGACTGTTTCTTGCAAATCCATCCATTTTATAAAAAAAAGGAATAAAGAGTTCTGAGAATAGTCGTATTGTATATAATAATAATAATAATAATAATAATAATAATAATAATAATAATAATAATAAAGTTGGAAGGGACCTTGGAGGTCATCTAGTCCAACCCCCTGCTCAGGCAGGAAACCCTAGACCATTTCGGACAAATGGCTGTCCAGTCTCTTCTTAAAAACTTCCAGTGTTGGAGCATTCACCGCTTCTGGAGGCAGGTTGTTCCACTGGTTAATTGTTCTAACTGTCAGGAAGTTTCTCCTTAGTTCTAGGTTGCTTCTCTCTTTGGTTAGTTTCCACCCGTTGCTCCTTGTCCTGCCTTCAGGTGCTTTGGAAAATAGCTTGACTCCCTCTTCTTTGTGGCAGCCCCTGAGATATTGGAACACTGCTATCATGTCTCCCCTCGTCCTTCTCTTTGTTAAAATAGACATACCCAATTCCAGCAACCGTTCCTTATATGTTTTATATACATATATGTATTTATATATCACATTATCATCCAATTACAATCACACACTAACTCTTGGCAACTCACAAGATAAAACCAGCAATAATAATGAAAATAAAGCCAACAGTGAAAATAGAGTAACCTACCGTCCAAAAAGCATCTGGCATCAGCTCCCAAACACCACCAGAAAAACTGTGTTTTAAGAAGCTTCCTAAAAGCACTTCCAGAGAGTTGAGCTGGTGGTAAAAACTGTGCAAATGGGCCTCAGTCTCTTTGAAATACCAAAAATGAGAGCCAACCAATTGCTTCTCCCAGCATGATCAAAATGGTTGTGCTGATTTCAGAGAGATGCGGACAGGAAGATAACACAACAAGCCATAGAAAGCTTTATAAATTAATTTAAGTTGCACTTGGAAGCTGATAGGAATCCATTGCAGGTTTCCAAAATAAGTATAACATGTGTCCAATAGCAAGCACCCATGAGCACTAAGGTTGCTGCATTTTGCATCAGTTGAACCTTCTGGGTGGCCTTCAAACGCAACCCATGCACAGTGCTCTAGAATGCTTAATCGTCTTATCCAATATTATGGGCTTTAAACTAGTAGCAATTCTCCAGAACGTCAGATAGAAGTAGATAGTTTGCTGGCTTGGCTGGCCTGCTTGTTTACTTCCTCTGTTTTGTTTTGTTTTTGCTATGTTTATATGCTGCTCCCATCACTGCCAACTTAGAGCACCTTATGTATGTTTAGTTTGTATGTAGAGTTAATAATCAAAGAACGCAGTCAATAATATAATAAGATCATTTAGCAATGGTAGTGGCACAAAGGAGCAGCATTTTTATTTTTGTAAAAAAAATGAAGCAAGAAATGAGAACTGAGTTTGACTAACTAAAACAGTGCTTGCTTTGAATGTTTGGTCAGAATTTGTCCATTCTTTCTCTGAAAACACTATTCGGTTTCTTTTTTAATTGCTATATATCTCAAAATAGACTTCATCTTCTCCTTTCCTTTCCCTATTAATCCCAGGTAATTAGTTCCACTTACATATTATTTATTGACTATTATTTATTTCTGCATCTCTCTTAATAAATGTTAAAGTATTTTAGAGATAAAGCCAAAGAAAGCTGCTGTGTATGATCTATTGGAAGGGCCGTAATTAAGACAAACTTATTTTCTATTTGAAATGGATAAAGGAAATCCGTTAGCAAAAATAGTACTTAGTTGCACAGCATTAGTCCAAGTTACTGATAATCTGTTTTTGATTCCAAGCTGTATTCTTGTTCTTCTATTTATCCTCTGATGTGTGGCTGCTAATACTTGGCTGTATTAAGCACTTGGTAATGCAAGCCTGAATATTTTTTTTTAATTTTTTTGCTGTGGCATTTTGTTTAGGAAAAAGCAGCAAAATGGAAGAATCCAGATGGGCACATGGATGGATTAACAACTAATGGCGTTCTAGTCATGCATCCTAAAGGGGGGTTCACTGAAGAATCTAAACCTGGTGTTTGGCGAGAAATTTCAGTCTGCGGTGATGTATATACTCTACGGGAAACAAGATCTGCTCAACAAAGAGGCAAGCTAGTAAGTTAATGATGAAAAACATGATTTAAAATTATTTCTAGCCATTAAAGAACATTAAAGTGGTTCTTAGTTAAAGAAACAGTAAATATTATTCAAAAGAAGCTTAAAGAACATGACAACATAAAAACTCTGCAAAGGTAAATAAACATGAATCCATCTTACAACAGAACCATTTTACCTCCCGAATGAGAAGCCACACAGGGATTTGGGGGGAAAGAAATCCAGCTTAACAAAAGGGACTTTGAGGATACCTAACCTGCTGGATCTGGTGAAATGGATGGGAACCATAAGAGTTGAGTAATCCTGCAAATTACATTACCTTGGGTCTTGTGGGTGATAACTAGCACCTTGAGTTGCACCCAGAGACAGATTGGAAATCAGCTCACAAAGATACATAAAGATATACTTAGAATCTTTCCTGAATTGGGAGATACTACACAAAGTTGGACTGTTGCAGTGTGTTGTATGTGGGCTGCCCTTGAAGACTAATTGGTAGCCACATTTGGCCATGATTGTGGAGTTGTGAGTGGATATGGGTATACCTTGAAACATTCTAGGTTCACTTCTGCTCCACAATCTATACTGGCTGGTAATTGGTAAGTAGGTGGAATTCAAAGTGCTGGTCATCATTTACATCCAGTCCTCATTTAGCGACGGAGTTCCATTCCGACGACCAAATTAAAGAAAGGGTGAACACCTGAGAGAGAGAGAGAAACTCCATGAAGATCACTGATTGCTGACATGTCAGTCAGATTTTCTCTATGTGTTGTCAGGGCATGAAATTTGATAGTAAATGCTGCATTGGCTGGAAAATGATTTTGATTACTATCATATTGCAAATGGTTGCTAACTGAAATTGCTAAACAAAAAGTGGGTGTAAAAAGTTCTTTGTGGCTTGAGGTCTGATGATCTATGGAAACATCTCTTCCATTTATGTTTGCCCATCCTATAAAATTAGTATAGTGGGATGCTTCAGGTTCCATCATTCAAATGCTGTCAGATCTTAGTACTTTCCTGTACCTCTATCTGCCCTATATGAGATAATATTATCTATTCACTCCTCCAAAGTCCACACAGCTATAGCACTGTTGTTGTTTATGCAAGCCTTGGAACGTGGCTCTTTCAACTGGCCCTCAGACAAGCATTTTTCTATTTATTTTATTATTTGAATATGTTTGTGACTAATTATTAGACTTGGGTAATGGGGCAGCTTATAAATCAGATGGATATGGATATAGGGAATTTTGTTGGCTAGGAAATTCTGGTAGATGAACTCACACCTCTTAAAAATGCAGGAGTTAGAAAAGACTGCTAAAATAATAACAAATAATAATTGTCTGTTGCTCTAGCTCTTATTCAGGTATTTATTGTACTGATGCCATTATCTCAGTGTTCTACACAGGAAAAAAAGAAAAGGCTGGGTCATCATAATAAAAAAAATTTAAAGGGAAAATAAAAATTTCTTTGATTCCAGAACTGTGAGGAACATTGAGAAAGGAATTGATTTCAAATTCTTCTTCTTTTCTGCCTGGCATTTTAGGTGGAAAATGAAACCAACATCCTACAAGATGGTTCTCTCATTGATCTATGTGGGGCCACTCTCTTGTGGAGAACAGCAGATGGCTTATTTCACACACCAACTCAGAAACACATTGAGGCTCTACGACAAGAAATCAATGCTGCAAGGCCCCAGTGCCCTGTGGGACTGAATACACTGGCTTTTCCTAGCATTAACCGTAAAGAAGTGGTAGAAGAAAAACAACCGTGGGCTTACCTCAGCTGTGGCCATGTCCATGGTTATCATAACTGGGGACACCGCAGTGATACAGAAGCCAATGAGCGTGAATGCCCTATGTGCAGAACTGTTGGTCCCTATGTTCCTCTTTGGCTTGGGTGTGAGGCAGGCTTTTATGTTGATGCTGGTCCACCAACGTATGCTTTCACCCCTTGCGGGCATGTATGCTCAGAAAAATCTGCCAAATATTGGTCTCAGATCCCATTGCCACATGGTACTCACGCATTCCATGCTGCCTGCCCTTTTTGTGCTACCCAGCTATCTGGAGACCAGAACTGCATCAAACTTATTTTTCAGGGTCCAATTGACTGATGATGCCATTTTACAGATGACCATTATACAGCTCACTTTGTTAACAATTTACTGTGAAGATAAAGAATTGCCACTAACTCTAGATTTTACCTTTTTTAAAAATGTTATTAATGAGGGCTTTGAAGTGGGATTAGCAGCTGGGGAATTGAAGTTATTTTGATATCTGGAACCAAACAGTTATCAGTGGCATTGCATGCTAAACAGCAGCATGCTCATGATGACATCTTTTTTTGGTTAAGCTGTAGTATATTTGTAAGATTTGTAAGATTAGAAGAAAAATACCAGTGTCTTAATGATTTTTTTAATATTGGATTTTTTAACAGAAATGTTTTCTTCTACACTTTGAATGACAAGCCTTTAAACACATATTTTTTCAATCTAAAAGAAGCATAGAGAATGTAATTTGTCCTCTCTTTTTAATTTGCAATATAGTTAACTTGAATAATTCATTCTCAAAGAGGATGTATCAAATGTTTGAGTAAAACTAGGTGAATATTCACTTAATACATTGAACATAGAGTGAACATAAAAGGTTGGCTTATCAACATAGCACAAAATATTATGAAATTCTGCAGTGTTGTTTAATATAGCTGTCCAAGAGACATAGTTACTTGAAAGTTGGGGATCTCTGGCTGTGGGTGACTTTCTGTGTTATTTTTCTTTTCTTAATATAAAAGTTCCTGTGTTAAACAATGCTAACACAATGTTCCTATGTTAAACTAATAGGGGAAGTTTGAGGAACAGGTTATTTGATCCAACCTAAGTTTAAGACAGTGTGTGCAAATGAGCATTTCTTTTTGTGCTTATGCCTCTTCTGAGCCAACTCTATTATCTAGCAGGGACTGTACCATCATTCTCCCCCTATATTTTATTAAATTAACACAGCATAGAATGGTCCTGTAAGGATTAGCATTAGGCCAATTATCAGAGTAGCACATGAACTGTTTTTCCATAGTATCCTTGGCTCTACCATGTGCTAATAATCTTTCATGCATGTTCTTCCTTGCTCGGTTGGTCCTGCTTAGGTCTAATTCTTTTAGGGTGTTCTTGCAGCACCATGGCCTGAAGCAAAGTGGTTTTCTCACCAATGTAGTGATGCTAAATATATATCATTTAAATTCAGTGGTTGTAAGTCACAATGTATGACAAGTCTTTTTCAATTCTGCATCTGGTGTCATTTGTAATTTTCATGCATATCTACCTATTTATACCATTTTAACAGTTTTATCTCTTTCTAATTCTGCCTTTGGCTTTACTTGTATTAATTTGCCCTTGCATGTCTGGGACCTGTGAGCAAATGAAAATGTAGCAACTTGTTATTAATCTGTTTTTTTCAGTAGTTTCACTTTCTACACTAGCTGGAGGTTTTGCATTATTTTTTGTGGAACATAACACATTTCCTTGATCTTATAATCAGTTTAATGCCCTCTTCAGTCTTAACCAACTGCAGAAAATTCTGCATAATTCACATGTTTAAATTCTTGGTAATCATTTTGAAATAATTTAAAATAGGTGCTTTTGTAGCACTTGCTTCTTTGATTTTTCCCTTAATGTGCAAATCTTGTCTAATAATACTGTTGACTTGTTAATTTTTGATTAGTTTTTTTTATTTTCTTCCTTCTAGCATTAATTTAATTTAGACGTCACATCTGAAAAAAAAGCCCTTTTAAATGTTTAGGTTCAAGTCATATCTTAAGTAACTTGGAATTCTTGATTTAGCATGGGAGAAATGGTGGATAGGAAATAGGACAAATTACTGCCAATTTTGACAATTATTTTACATGTACTTTATTGTTGTTTTGTGATAGAAATTCCATTTTTGTTTTGTTTTATACTCATGCTATCAAATTTATTCAATTTTTCATATTGCCTTGAAAAATTAGTCCTTACCAGAGCAAAATTAATTGCATATCTTGAAGTAAATCTTGCAGTTTGGATCACCTGTTAAAATGCAGAACAGTCCATTGGTTTACTTTGTCCTTTGTTTAAATATATAGGTTATATGATTTTAATATATTAACATACATGCATATACACACATACACTTGAATTGGCTTGTTCATAGTTAAAACGTATTACTTTATAGTAAGTTAACCATTTAAACACTTCACATGTCCATGCCCATTGGCATGTTTGTTTTTATTTGCTGATGTTTAATACAGTTTTCCTGTATAAAAAGTTTTTTTTAATTTGAAACATTTGTCTGAAAGAATTTTACTTACTTGACAGTATTTTGCATCAAATACCATACTCTGTAGCTTATCTAGCCCATGTGATAGTTTGGGAAAGCCAGTTTTTTTCAAAATATTTCGTCTTAGTGCCTTCTAAATGAGATAGCACCTTGCTCTGATTTCATGATAAAACATATAACTCAAATCTTGATTAGCGGTTATCTTTTAATACAGATACTTTTAGTCCTTTTAATGACTTCCTGTTAATTGGTGAAATGCTATAAAATCAAAGTTAAAAAAATGATTCTCCTTGTTACTTTAAAAGGCGAAAAAAGAAACATGGCGGCCACATTTGACCGTTTCATATACAAGGTTATATAGAGATCCTATACTATACTAATTATTCCAGCAATGAAAGTTGCTCCAGAATTTTTTTTTTCTTTTTATGGGTCATATGAATCCACTCATTCTAAAGTTCTGAATCTTTTTGTAAGCTGAGCAGCATGTATAGAAACAGTCCCATATTTCCTCATACTGGAAGGAATTCTGAATCCCATTTTTCCCTATACTTTACAGAATTTGATTTGACTCCTCTTTCTGTTTCAGAGGGCTTCTATTGGCTATATGAAAAATTCCCTATACAATTTGCCAGTATAATTCATTAAAGGAGCATTCTCAGTCTCTTCCTCTTTTAAGTTTTTGGAATTTTTAAAATTATTTTGGATATTTTTCTGAATTCTGTCAGCAATAATATTTTATCTACAAGTTAAAATTTCTGAAGCAGTCTCTTTGTCAATGTTGTCTGAATAGAATTTAAAACTCTTGTTGTACAAACTTACTTCAAAGTGTGCTTTGTGTCTTATTTTAAATTTTGTTTATTGGCTCACATATTATACAACTCTGTCATTCCTCATATAGGAAAACATTTTTTTGCTTATAATAAGCCTGTAATCTACATGTTCATGTTTTTCCTCTGAAATGTAATTCTTGTTTAGTAATCCTTTAATTCTTTCCAATCTAAACCATCCAATGATAGTTCTTCAGTGCCTCAGGCTTGCCAGTCATGGATAGAAAATATTTATTTTGGATTCCAGGTTGAAGTGGTGAAAGGGAGCATTGAAAATTATGTGCATTTGTAAGAACAAGCCAACTCTAGTGCAACGCAAGCCACTAAGTGGCTTTTTTGCTTGTTTTAAATGACTCTCTCATTTCATGTTGAACTTTTCCCCAAAGAGCTATGAATTTGTTAGTGTACTCTTTAAATCAGTCATTTTCAGTCTATATTTTACTTAAATAGACATATTTGTGTGAGATGCTTCACCTAACTCTATGGGTATATAGGGCTCACCTGAAAGTAGTAACACAGATTAAATTGCACAAATCTAAACTAAAATGTGGTTAAGTACTTTAGAATTTCATGTGTCATGCAAACTCAAACAATATTACTCCTCAACATTTTCTGTGCACCTTTTTGAATGTTTACAGTGGTGCTTGCAGTCATCAACCTTTTTCTGTAATTTCTTAATGTTAGATTGAGAAATTTTAACTCATTCCTTGGTCATGGAGTAGTTTAGAAATATTTTGGTACTTTAAGAAGATAAACACAAGTCTGATCTTTGTTTCAAAATATGTTTGGGGAAGTTGATATGCTTTTGTTTTAATACTTGCATGATGTCAACATCTCACCCCACTCTGTTGCACATAGATTCAAAGTATATACAGGAATTGGTTGAGATATCTTAAATTCATCTATGCGAAGCTTTCCAATGTGTTTTCTCTAAATTAAAACTTACAAATTTATATGTTTTGAAATAAATTGGAGCTTTTATCCTAAAACAGTTTATTAAATCTGATGCTTCTAGGTGGGTTGGGGCTTTAACCCCTAGATTCTCAATCCTTGAGGTTACAAAGATTTTGGGAAATTGTAGTTCTGATACTTCTAAAGAATGCCAAGTTGAGAAAAAATGCCCTATAAAATGAATTCGAAATTCTTGAAGCATGTGCAAACTTTCTCTTCCCTGCTTCTTCCAATAGCCAAGTACTACCTTGAAAAATATTTATTCAAAAGTCAATGCAAATCATGCTAACCTGTGTTGGGAGATCCACTAATGTCTATATAAAATATTAACTCAGAATCTTCTCAGTCTCTGGATAATTTCTCCTCTTAGTTCAGTGAGAAAATATTTCTGTGTATTTGTATTAGCTTCTCTGCTCTAGAACTCAATTTATTTCATTGCTGGTGTACTTTGTTATTTATAAACAGCGGGCTTTCTGAAGTCTTAGTTGTCCCTGCAATTTGAATTTCAGGAAAAAGTATGATAGATTTTTATGAAATTTCATGAGGCTTTTAAGAATCCCTATCCGTCAAGCAAATTGCAAATACAAAAATACATTTGAACAGGTTGACCTGTGCAAATAAGTCAAGATATATGTTTTTGCCCTCCCTTTTGTTAAGTAAATAAGAACATTTTATTATATTCATATATAGTTATCAGTACCATGGGTCATTAAATAGTGCCAGTTTAGAAATTGCAAAACCTCAGATTTTTTTTATACCATTGAAAGGATTCATTATTCCATAACAGCAATAATTGTTTGTCAGCTGATGGATTTGCCTACGCGATTTGCACTAAAAGCAATGCGATTATCCATTTTTACTGCACTAATTCATTACTGTCTCAATGACTTCAGATATTTGAGCTGTGTGTCCATTTTCTTGTTTATGCTTATATCTTATAGTTTCCAGGCAATAGCACAGGAACAGTTAATAATTTCTATAAAGATATTATGAATGTTAAGCCATTCAGTTCCCTGTGATGGATTTAAGAAGGCAGACTGTCGCATGGAGATTGCTTCAAGCAAATTCAGATGATTCCCTCCAGTACATGTGCGTTTACAGATCTGAATCTGATTGGAGAAATTGATAGTTAGTTGTTCATCTTACTTGGCATTCATTTCAAAAATTATTTAAAAAATGACAGGTTAATTCTATAATCAAATATCTCTGAAACATTGAAATAGGATAGTAAATTTCTTTCATTAAAAAAGATCTTAAATAGTCCTAAATTGTTCTTAAGGTGATATTTTTAATTAGTTAGAAAGCTGTTCTTTAATAAAACAACCTAGGTTGCTAAGGTATCTTATACAAAAAAAAATAAATCTTTGCTTCACTGAGGGCATGTTTTAGTTTTAGTGAGTACATCTAGCAAGCACATACACAGGAACTAGAGGACATAAAAGGAGGCGGTGCTTGATATGTAGGACATGTGGGACATCTGTGATTTAAGTAGTGTTATTGGCATTATGTTATTTTAATAACAATCGGGATATGGCTGGTAAGTGATCAGAATGAATTCTTGCCCTGACTCAAAGTGAAAATATGACTGATGAAAGATTGTATCAACAGCTGGGATAATTATCAAGAAGTTGTTCAGAAGAAAAAGAAATATTTTTCACTGGTTCCCTTCCATGTGAATATCAGTAGTCAGTAATACTTCTTTTAAATGAACAGTCTTGTTTACAGTAATTTTGACATTTCTGGATGTCTTTTTCAAACTCCCGGTGTTAAAAATATTTTGAATAGGAGTGTCATAGATTGAATCTGGGTCTGTATTCTTACAAAATGGTGACTAAAAAATAGTTTCAAGAACCTGAAAATGGGCAAGTAACAGATGATACCAAAATCAGATCAAACCTCAGATAAGTGTGAAATAGAAAATATGTTGTTTGAAAGTTTTCATTGTTGTGGATTTTGGATGAAACAACACTAGAAGGAACCGATAAAGATCCAGGAATGATGTTATGAGGTGATTAGGATAAGGCCCTCTTCTAATGGCTCTGGGTGTCATACTCCCAACAGCCTGCCTGCCTCCAATTTCCCTCTTACTCTTCCACAAACTACTGTGTAGAACAACATTGTTTTGTACTATATACAGTCCAAGATTACCAAGCATGCATGGTTCACTTTGAATACTGGCTACCCAACACAGTTCCATGCATGGAACAGTTTGCACATGCCTAGAGAAAATTCATTCTATGCAGGCAACCATTATAGTAACCTTAGAGTCTTAAATGATTCTAAGTCCTATATCTTTAAATGATTTAGAATAGGCAAAATGTATATTGTTGGTTTATTCCATAAAATTAAAATAAAAAACAAATTTATGGTAGACATATTAGGTACCTGTATAGTGATACTTTAGATTTGGAGACCCTTTTATACGTTATTTCAATATGTTGAATTTATCTAATTACAAGTTTCCTGATAACCCTCTTCACCTAGAAATAACTACTGAAAGCCACCAGTCTATATTGATTGGTTTGGGTGTTAGCCAGACTTGGGGCATTCTATCCCATGAAAACAGTGTTCCCTGGAATCTTGATAGGAATCTGGGCCTCTCTTAAATGGTATCATCAGCTCACTATTATCTGTTACTATATAATGCTTTAATCAGTCCACATCTGTAGTGGAGAGGGATAATGCAAGTTGGAGCTCAGCCACATTTTCCACTCCTGCCCTAAAATATAATCAAGATTGCCAACTTAGAAGTTGGAGGAGGGATATCAGTAATGATGAACAAGCACTCATTTGGCATCTTACTAAAAAAAAACACCACCTCTTAGTAATACATGTAGGGGAGTCTCTTAGCTTTATAGGAACAGCATATTGAAACTATTGTTTAGCTTTGATCAGGCTTGGTAAAACAAATATGCAAGAAACTCATCCTGGTAAAATAAGTTATTCAAATAATTATCCAATTTATTTTTTTAATGTAATATATTTCCTATGTTAGGTAATACATTGCTTAGTAAGACTAAATTGTAAGGAGCATAGATGGAACTCATTAATCAAAACCATTCCTAGAGATCTTATTTTGGACAAATCCACTTGAAAGATGGAAAAGGAAATAGTGACTTCAGAGTGTTATCAGCTGTTAATGTTCTGAATTATATTTGTGAAATTGGCCTTTTGTACAACAGTGTGAATGAATATTAACATAATTTAACTATTGTATGTTTTGGAAGTACAAGCCATTTTACAGGAGGGGAGGAAATAAAATAGTATTCCAGTATTATCTCTTGACTCCTTTTTTATTCTTCATATTTCAAAGCTGTTATATGAATCCAGTGTTTGGTTTGTGAATTAAAGTCAGTATTACTTTTTAAGACTGATTATTAGAATGGTTATTATAACCCTTGGTGCATGGAGATCTGAATCTTAGCACTGTGTTAGTCCTTTAGAGCAAATTGGACCCATTGCCATTAAGAATTCTGGAAAGGAATACATTAATGGTGGAAGTTCTTATGTGTGAGATTTCAAGATAAAAACAGTACAGCAGTGAAATCTACCATAAAGGCTGTTAATAACAGATGTATGTTAAGAAAAAGCAGCAGAAAAATTTTACATCTTACTATAACTGCTCCTTTTCACCTCAGAATTTTCTCCAACTGCCAGAATAAGATTAAACAGGCCATTCAAAATGTTTATTGCATATAGTTTTGCATGTACTTTCAAATACTAGAAGTGAAAATTTATTATAATGTTCAAGACATAAAAATATTTAATGTGATTGTTCTTAAGAATATAAGCCAGGTGATTTAAGAGTTGAGTTTTAAGAGAAGTCAGATTTTGTGGTATTTTACAAAATTACAATTGTGAATGAAAGAAAAAGCCTTGTGCCAAATAAATCCTCAGAACAGAAGTGAGGAGTCCAGTTTCCATGGGGGCCATTTTGTTCACAAATATCTGTCTTCAGTCTCCCTCCAAACTTAATCATACTGTTCTTTTGGGGGTAAGTAATGTTACACAAAATGTAGAAAAATAGTAAAGAATAATAACTCTCCCCCCTAAAGCAAGAAATAAAGAGGAAAATAAATATTGTTTGCACCAAGTGTAATACTATTTGCACCTCTCTGTGTCTTTACGCCATTCAAGCCATCCTTAATACATTATTCCCTGCCTGTCAGTTCCTCTTTCTGAAGAATTTAATCAGGTGCAACCATCATTTTCTCAATCTCCCCATTTCTCTTGATCTATTCACTCTGCATTCCTATATTTGTTTAAGTTCTTACTATTTTCTCTATATCAGTGGTTCTCAACCTTTCTAATGCTGCGACCCCATGATATAGTTCCCCATGTTGTGGTGACCCCCAACCACTTATACATCACCGGGTGCCAGGGGCGTGGCCACAGAAAAGGAAAAAAATGGCCGACAGCCTTGTTTGGAGACCCCCGTGAAATGGTCGTTAGACCCCAAATGGGGTCCCGACCCACAGGTTGAGAACCACTGCTCTATATGATCAAACAACCTCAAAGTATTTATTTTGTACAGGCCACTTTTTTATTCAATTCATTTTAAACAATTCATTAGCCATTCTTTTTTTGTTCCTATATCTTTTACCACAGACACTTCTTAAATAACAAATTCTCACTGTATTAACCTTTAATATTTCTTATAATATATACCTCCCTTCTCCATAAAGTGGCTAGAAATGTAGATATTTTTGCTTCTTTTGGTAAGATTTTTATTCCTCACAATAGACGCTATTACCCCTATACCTCTATCAAAGTTGACACATCTTAAAATGTTTGATTTTTCTCATCTTAGTAAACATACTGCCTGGGTATACAAATTCATCTATTTACTGTCATTTTTTCCATTTATGGAAAACTTGCAATCTTCCATTCCATTTTCCTCAAGTTACTTAGCTCTTTGATACATTAATATTCTGATCTATCGTCCTGTTTACATTACATAATTCAGAAACATACCCCTAACAATATAGCATTGTCTGCATAAAAAGTACATCCACACTTAATTATTGTTGAACTGTTCACTGATGATTCTACTTATTCTTACACATGCTTTACTTCTATCATTTATCTTGGGTAGCTCAATCACTTTTTCTATATCTTGTTTCAGTTGCCACCTACTTTTGTCACCTAAAAGAATAATCATGGGTTTTTTTCATTATTCCCCGGTTCAAAACATGAAACTACCACCAACTTCTGAATGCCTATTTTTATATACACCCATAATTACCTGCTTAATATCAATTCCTCCTTCATGGATTACTGCCTTGTCATGGTGAAGGGGCTTGCGTAACTCAATGAAGCTATGAACTATGCCGTGCAGGGCCACCCAAGATGGGCAGGTCATAGCAGAGAGTTCTGACAAAATGTGATCCACTGGAGAAGGAAATGGCAACCCACTCCAGTATCTTTGCCATGAAAACCCCATAGACAGTGCTACACTCAATTTGCCAGCAAATTTGGAAAACTCCACAATGGCCACAGGATTGGAAAAGGTCAGTTTACATTCCAATTCCAAAGAAAGGCAATGCCAAAGAATGTTCAAACTATCGCACCATTGCAATCATTTCACATGCTAGTAAAGTTATGCTTAAAATCCTACAAGCTAGACTCCAGCAGTATGTGGATCGAGAACTACCAAAAGTACAGGCAGGATTTCAAAGAGGCAGAGGAACTAGAGATCAAATTGCCAACATACACTGGATCATGGAGAAAGCTAGGGAGTTCCAGAAAAACATCTACTTCTGCTTCATTGACTATACTAAAGCCTTTGATTGTGTGGATCACAACAAATTGTGGCAAATTCTTAAAGTGATGAGAGTACCATCTTATTTGTCTCTTGAGAAACCTATATGTGGGTCAAGAAGCAACGGTGAGAACTGGACATGGAACCACTGATTGGTTCAAAATTGGGAAAGGAGTCCAGCAAGGCTGTATACTCTCGCCCTGCCTATTTAACTTATATGCAGAGCACATCATGAGAAAGGCAGGGCTAGATGAATTAGTTAGTTGGCTAGTTGGAATTAAGATTGCCGGGAGAAATATTAACAACCTAAGATCAAGAGCCGAGATGGCGCAGCAGTTAGAGTGGAGTACTGCAGGCCACTTTAGCTGACTGTGTTCAGCAGGTCAGCGGTTCAAATCTCACCGGCTCAAGGTTGACTCAGCCTTCCATCCTTCCGGGGTAGGTAAAAATGAGGACCCAGATTGTTGGGGGCAATGTAAAATATATATATACATTGCTTACTGGTGTACACCGCTTAGAGAGTGCTTGCACTTAAAGCGGTATATAAGTCTCATAAATAAATAAATAAATAAAATAAATATGCAGATGATACCACTCTAATGGCAGAAAGTGAAGAGGAACTAAAGAGCCTCTTGATGCGGGTGAAGAAGGAGAGTGCAAAAGTTGGCTTGAAACTCAACATTAAGAAAATCAAGATCGTGGCATCCAGCCCTCTCAATTCCTGGCAAATAGATGGGGAAGAAATGGAGGTAGTGACAGATTTTATTTTCCTGGACTCCATGATCACCGCAGATGGGGACTGCAGCCAAGAAATTAAAAGTCGCTCCTGGGGAGAAAAGCTATGGCAAATCTAGACAGCATACTAAAAAGCAGAGACATCACCCTGCCAACAAAAGTGTGTATAGTCAAAGCCATGGTTTTCCCAGTTGCAATGTATGGCTGTGAAAGTTGGACCATAAGAAAGGCTGAGCACCAAAGAATTGAGGCCTTTGGTGCTGGACTGCAAGGCATTCAAACCGGTCAGTCTTAGAAGAGATCAACCACGACTACTCTTTAGAAGGCCAGATCCTGAAGTTGAAACTCAAATACTTTGGCCACCTAATGAGAAGGAAGGACTCACTGGAGAAGAGCCTAATGCTAGGAAAGATTGAGGGCAATAGAACAAGGGGACGACAGAGAATGGGGTGGCTGGATGGAGTCAATGAAGCAGTAGGTGTGAGCTTAAATGGACTCCAGAAGATGGTAGAGGGCAGGAAGACCTGGAGGAATGTTGTCCATGGGGTCGCGATCGGTCGGACATGACTTCGCAACTAACAACAACAACAATATCAATTCACACTCATGCCATTCATAATTAAACCTTTTTTCCACTTCCATGTGTGTACTAAATGCTCCACCTTTGTTTGTAGTACATATTCTTTTTATTAATTTCAAGAGAACATAGCTGCTTGCTTTCATTCATGATTCATGCTCTAGCCTACACTCTTCTTACATTTCAAGTTGGTATATTGTGGAGCCCAAAACCAAGAAAGACATGTGACAATTCTTCCAAGCTGAGTTCTTTATTGTTTCATACCTATAGATAAAATCTTGCCAGATTTTAGAGCACTCTACTAACTGCATCTACAATATACTCTGTGAACTATTGGGAGGAACTGTTCTCACCCTCTTTCACACATAATATCTGGTCTTAATTCTTTGGGATGCACCCCCTTCCTCCTGGAAATCGACCTCTGTACTGCATTCCATTACATCTGTATTCCATGATCATTTTGGATGTGTCCATAGATGGTAATCTCCACCATCCAATAAGACTTTGATTGATTAAGATGTTCATACAGAACTTTTCAATAACCTAGAGGAGTAGATTAATTTACAAGCTTTAGCCACATCCATTGTTCTATGCAGTTTATATGCTACTGTTTTTGTTTAATTAAAACAAAAATTAAATTGGAAATTTCTGTAATCATTAATTTTCTAACACCATCTTTATTTTCAAAAGAAAAAAAAATCATCCTTGAAATTAGATATGCTTCATAGCCATTTTTTGAAAACGATGTATCCATTGCAGTTCAATGGATTGTTTTGAAATACGTTCACCTGCCTCCCCTTCCAAAATGACAAAGATAAACTGGGTTTGTAGAAAACATCTTGCAAACTAGAGAAGGCAATAGTAAGCAATTTCATTTATTTGCCTTTTAATAAAAAAATACTCTGTGACGGCTCATGCCTCCAATAGCAAGCATTTATCAATTTGTAAGCACACCATGGCAAACTTTCTTTAAGAAAGCCATTTTGAAGAGATATTTGGCAAAAGCCTTATCACTCTCTTCTGGAAAGCTTTAAACGAAAGCTTTAAACGAGAGCAAAAAGGTGGCCAAAGACCAGAAATGTATATTCAAGCAATCATGGGACAGTCACCATGGGAACCTATAATTTTATCAGATACTGAAACAGGATGAGTAGGTGGTATTTAAAACCTTAAAGGTTTCTACACTAATGCACAGAATAAACAG